AAACTGAAGGAGTTGTTTTTGTGCAGGTGGCTTAATCTCTCTGCTGCTTATCCTAACTGTGCTCTTTTATTTATTAAGGACAGGAACCGGGCACTCTGCTTCTGAAAACAAAAGCTCTCCCAGCCTACCAATACCATAATAAACTCTTAGGAGCCTTTTACATCATTCAGAACAGCAAAGATAGGTCATGGGTGTGTGTTTTAAAATAACTTTTCTATTTCTTCACTACAGAAAATATAAGTAAAAGTTTAAAATCATGAAAATATATTAGCAAGCTCATAATTATGCAGCAAGGAGCTTTTTACATTATAGATTGTTTGATTTTTTTCCCCTCAACTCTATGTGGTCTCTCTCCTGCTTATACAAAGTGGTTCTTAATGGACATTATTTGTATTATTGGTTTCCATTTATTTCAGTTGACAGCATTCAGAGGGTCTTGCTTTAAAATAAATCATTTATTTAATATCCCAATTCTTTTTTCATATTTGCTCCAGCATACATAACAACTAATCTTGGAGAAAGTAGCTTTTCTATTCGCAAGGTTCTATGAATCAAAGGCTTCACTATCTGTGTTATTGTGAAATAGAAGGAAGAAAGGAAGATTTGGGTGAATAGGTAGACAGAGCGTTACTGAAAAATATCATAGCTTTTCTTCTGGTTGGGTATTGATGGCATAATTTATTTTACTTCAAATGGAGTAAATTCTAGAGTGCTGATTCCCAAGCCAGAGTACTTTTTAGTGCCATAAAAATGGGCTTTAAATTAGCTGCCATTTTCACCATCTACCATCAAGTAATTGAGAATTAATTGCATTAATTCATATGTCAAGTACCAATCCCTTGGGGTTTATTTCTCCTCTTAACCACAGCAGCATTTAGGGTAATGAAATTTATCACATGGGCTAAGATCCATCTTCACCTAGTTAAGAACAAAAGAGCCAAGCGATGCTTAATGTGAAGGCATGATTATTCTCTTTGATGTCTATCTCATAAAACTGGTCACGATGGTGCCACACTTGTCTCATTATCCCATTAGTTATATTGATGCTTAAACTTTCAGAAATTGAAATCTGAACCACCCTTAAGAGCTACATATTCTACCAATTTGCTATATATTTTATGTAAACTAACACCTCCCATTTGTCTTAGGTGTATCTCTGTAAAAGTTCTGGGAATATTACCACTGACCTGTAGCCAAGCTAACCACCCTCATATGGACAAATATCATATTCCTCTGCGGGTTTTGTATGTCAACAGTCAGAATGAGAGAGGACTTTGGGATCAGGCTGACCTGAGTTGGAATTACAGGGTCATGTCTAATGACCTGAGTGAGCTTTGATAAGTTAATTAATTACTCTAATCCTTAGAATCTTCACCTGTAACAACAAGTGTACCTGATTCATGGTAACTGTGACTACAAATGGAAAAGAACCCTGCTCAGTGCCTAGCGACAGTATACATGGACTTCAGCTTCTTCCCTCCTCCTTCCTGAGTGTGGCTCAAAACGCTTTCGCCTCTGCCTTTTTTAACCAGACCCCTTCTGCAGCCTCATGACAAAGCGACACACTGCAGAACATTCATTAGACTGCCTTTTTAAAGTGTTACATTAAAATTTTTTCTGTCCATGTTCTCTCACATAATATCACTTGGTAAATGAAAAAAAAAAAACAAAAACAAAACAAAACACTGCCCTATAAATAGGATTTATCACATTTGTACATAATTGAGTCTTGCTTTGAGGGATCATCTTCTCAAATGTGTCCACTCTGCAGTTTAACATCTTGAGTCGCCTTTGCTGCTGGCTACTTTATTTGCTGACTTGTAGGCACCATCAGGGTTCCATCTTTGTTTCACCTGGAAAGCGGGCTGCTAGCATCCGCGCAGCAGGAAAAGGGATAAAGTTGTATAACGGATGTGGGGAGAGGTTGACCAAAGATGCACAATTCCACTTAAGTAGATGGTGACAGTGCAGGAGCTCTGCAGTGCAGCTGGGTGGCTCTGGTTAGCGATAACATGTCTTCAGATGTTGCAGAATCAATTTCAATTCAATTATTCTCACCCCCAAAATGAGAAAGCGCATGTGAATTAGCTTCATTTAGTCATTCCACATTGTCATAATAAGTACATATAATTGTTGCCAATAAAAATAATTTAAAATAATATATGTAAAATACTGAATAAACAAAGATTTGTACAAATGTCTGATAAATTCTTAATGAAATGTGTCTAGAATAAATTTATTTTCTCATTTAAGAAAACAAAGCAGATTGAAGATTTATATAGAAGTTTTATGTATGTGTATGGCTACAATAAAAGTTTGTTATTAAAAATATATTGTTAAAACACTAAAATGAATGAAACATAGAAATTTTGTGAATTGATAGGGATTCTTTTGATTGGTTGGGTTTTTGTTTTTTTAATAATTTAAAGAGTATAAAATAGTATTAAAACAGAAAAATTACAAGTGATACAGAATTTCACTTAACAAATAATATGAATTTCATATATTTGTTGTAATACATAATTTGTCTTCCAACTAATTGTTCATATTACCAGATATATGCATGCAAAATTGGAAGAAGAAAAAAGAAATATATAAGCACCTAAGAAGAGAAAAAGGACAATTGAAAAAAGGAGACAAAACAAATTAAGCATTAACTGCTCTTTTCCATAGACCAGCAGAAATGCACAGTACAGTTGTCCAATCCATCCTGCTCACTTATATAGATGTATCTCCCTCACTACCTTTCCTACTTTCTGTTTATTTCTGGTAATGGGAATCAAACTCAGGACCTTGCACTTGCTAGGCAGGTGCTGTGCCTCTTGCTGTCTCCCCAGCATGGATCAGTGTTTTGAATTACTTCTTTGTAGGAACCAGTTAGTACATCAATGTAAATTTGTTTTCCATCTTCAATTATTTCTGAAAAGAATACAAGCATTAGTATCAGTCATTGGTACCTATGGTTGAAATCATGCTTCTCACAGAGATTCATGGCAGGAGTTAGGCAAGTGAAGCCATTTGTTCTTCCAATTTAGTTTTCATCTCTGCATGTGCTCACATTAGACAGTTTCTTAGGCTTTCTACAAATAATGCTTAAAATTAACAGTATTCTTTTTTTTTTTTTTTGCGGAACCGGGGATTGAACTCAGGCCCTTGCGCTTGCCAGGGAAGCACTTATTCCACTGAGCCACCTCCCTGGCCCTGAAATTAACAGTAAAACATTATGGAAGCCAATTTTCTTTTCTTTTTACATATATATTTTTATTTTAAGGAAAAATCAAAAGCAATGGTATAAAATTTCAAAACAGAATTGTAGGAGAGTAACAATGGTTAGTACATTGCCTTTTGTTTTCTTCAAAGTAATTGCTCAGATTACAGCATACAGAAGGATAAAAAATTGAGCAATCAGTAGGCATATATGATTTCAATGAGCTAATAGTTACTAGTAGTAGAACTATCTTAATTGTCTTGTGCATAGTTATATGTAAGTTGTGTGTATTATTTTCCATTTCCCTTCCTTCTTTTGTCCTTTCACCCATTCTAGTTTCTTTTTCTTTTTGAGCATTTTCTTCCCATTTCATAATATCTATTGTATATTTTGGGTCTTATGTACTCTTTTAGCTTCTTACACTAAGGAGATAATATGATGTTTACACATGGGAGTCTGATTTATTTCACTTGTAAGTATGGACTCAAGTCACATCCGTTTCTCTGTAAATGTCTCAAGCTTACCCTTCTTTATAGCTGAGTAGTACTCTGTTGTATAAAAATATCCCACCATTTTTATCCATTCATTGCTTGATGGGTATTTGTATTGTTTCCAAATTTTGCTATGTCAAATTATTTAGCTATAAACATGGTTGCACATATATCGCTGTGGTATGATGTTTTTAATTCTTCTGGGAAAATATCCAGAAGGAGAATAGCTGGGTTAAATGGGACCTCTAATTCTAGTTTTTTGAGGAAACTCCAGACTGATTTCCAAATTGGTTGTACCAGCCTGCTCTCCCACCAACAGTGGAGAAGTGTTCCTTTTTCCCAAAAACCCCTCTAGCATTTGTTGTTGGTTGATTTCTTGATGATAGCCATTCTTACTAGGCTGAGATAGAATCTCAATATTGTTTTTTAATTTGCATTTCTCAAATGACCAATGACATTGAGCATTTTTTCATATATCTGAGAAGTGTATAATTATCTCAGATACCCATTTCTGGATTGGGTCTTTGAACTAGGGGACCTTATTTTTTTCAATTCTTTATATGTTCTAGATATAAGTCCTTTGTCTCAGGGATAGTTAGCTAAAAATCTTTCCCACTCTGTAGGTTGTCTTTTCACTTTGTTGGTGATTTCTTTTGATGTAAAAAGCCTTTTAATAGCATGAGATCACAATTGTTGAGTCTTTGAAATGTTTCCCATACAATCTATGTTTTGTTCATGAAGTCTCTGCCTACTTCTATGTCTTCAAGATATTTACCTACTTTCTCTTGAAGCCAAGTTTCTACAGTATTCTCATGACATTTTAGGTCATTAAGGTACCTTGTAGATGCTACTCAGAGTTAATAAAGTCTTGATGGTGGGCTCTGTACATGATTTGTCTGTTGCATTTCAAGACTCAGCACTGTTTGCTGGTCCTAGACCACAAGATAATGAAGTAGTTCAGTAGAGAGTCACATAATCAGAAATTCATGTGTTGGCTACATAAATTTCTTTGAAAAACATTAATAATATTTAGCTTCTTAGTGGTCTGCAAATTAGTTTGTTTGTAAGGGACAGAAAGGAGTCAACAAATCAGGTCTATCAAGACTCATTAATTCTATGGAGTTTTAGGGTGGGGAGGGGTGAGTAGTCAATAGACAAGTAAGATATGGTCACATGAAGTGGAATAAACAGCTATATTACATACTTCAGTAGCAGAGGGGATGCTTTAAAAGAATATGGGTTACTGTGTAAAATATCTGGACACTTAAACTGCACTGATGAGAAATACACTGTCTTTTCAGATTTACAATGTCAAGTAGAGGCACTTACATTAAAAATTCAGAAGACAACGACTGAACTGGACGACAATAAAGAAATGCTCAAGTAAGATGGTGACTATTAACAACTTGCAAGATTATAGTGCCTTGTTGTTGTATCACAAAATGAAGAATTTAGAAAGTCCTCAAGGTGTTCCCTGCACTCTTTTGGCAGTGATTCTGTTTTGTGGGTAGTAGGTTCCCATTTATTTTCTTGGCTTCTCTGCTGGCCTAGATTAAGTGCTGAAGGACCTGTAATATTTTAAAATACTTCAAAGCTTTCTTCCTTTAATAAGAAATTTACCAGTTGCTCCTCACCTTTTGGCTAAAATAAACATAGACACTTTCCCAGTTAAATTCAATAATTTAATATGAACTATTCTCTGAATGTTTAATTTTGGGGCCGGGGAGATGGCTCAGTGAAATAAGTGCTTCCCTGGCAAGCACAAGAGTCTGAGTTCAATCCCCAGTTCCACCAAAAAAAAAAAAGTTTAATCTTTGTCACTGTCTAGAAAATATCTGTACCCAAGAAACAATGTTGAAGTGTCTTAAGAGTATCAATTTTAGGCTTATAAAGGAAGTTGAATACCTTTGAAATACTGATGAATCTATACTTTACATAAGTAAGAAAGAAAATATTGGCAAACAAATGATAAGAAAATGAACTTGTCAAATATCCAGAGCACTATTTCCTTTAAAAATTAATTATATT